AAGTTGGTAAATCCTCTCCCCCAAAAGCAATTACAAAAGTGAACAAAATTGCCCAACCCAGCAAGAAAACTCTGGAAATGGCCAAAATCATATCACATATTGATAAGTGTTTATTCAAGATAATCTGCTGAATCTCAAAATAGCAGGCCTTTTTTAATCTAGAGTTATTCTCCTTCCCGTTAGCAGTCAGACACAGAAGTTTCACCAGGAAAGAGCAGGCTCTACACTAAAACTGGGAAGATTTTATTTAAAGCAGAGAGAAGCAATTTTTCATGTCTAAGAGCATTATTGAAAACAACAATGTTTTCTCAGTAGCTAACAATCAGAATCTTAAGATCTGTTAGCCTGAGGTCTCAACACTGATTAGGGCAAGCAAGAAATCAGTCATAAATCTGGCAGGGATGTGAAATGGATAAGAAAAGCCCCCTCACCTCTGGCCTGCACCCCAGCTCTTCTATGCAAAAACACATAAATGAAATCCAAAAAAGAAAGAAAAGCCTTATTCAGGTCGTACTTATCCTCAGTGGTCTGGAACGCCACACATATGAGCAATCTGCTTGCATTTTCTAGATAAACTGGAGAAGGCCCTAGAAAGCTACTCATCCCTCTCTAGGTGTAAAACACAATGAATGTAGGTAGGAAAAGGCAAGAAATGGCTGCACTTTGAATGTATTCCTCGAACTACATGCAGTCCCATCAGCAAAGCATATCCCTCTTACCACCTGAGCACATTTACTTGTAATCTCTGCCCAATCACATGGCTGACCATTAAGCTACACTCTCCCAGGGACTATCCCAACAAAGCCAGGCTGAAGTAAAAAACGATTTTTGTAAAAACTGAGCAGAAACTAAAGCAACCAGACACTTAAGAAACTGAGTCCTTAGAATTAGTTTAACATGTCACAATATGAATAAACAAACAAAACCACTCCTTAAGTATGAGAGGATCAGCAACTACAGCTGTTATGTTATTTTAAATGTCCTGTTTTCTCACATACATCAGATACACACTTAGTCATAAGTAACTGGTGGCTGAAGCCAAAAGACTGTTACAGGTGGTGCCCACCCTCCAACCCCCAGATGGGATTGCTCATGAGTATAGGTAGCTCCAGGGAAAAAGCTAAAAAGTATCACAATTTGGGATAGGGCAATGGATAAGAAATATGAGAGAGGGAAGCAGGGGTGCAGATTCATTCTGTCCTCAGAATTCAGCGTTTTCGGATCTTCCGTATTTGGGGTCAGCAGATTTCTGCCCTCACTGTGCCGATCTTCCAGAAGGCTGTTGTGGGCCTCTGAAGCTGGAGGCCTCCAGCAGCCAAACGCAGAGGGGAAAACTTCAGAGGCTTTGCAATTAGCCAAGCCACTAAAATTGTTCCCATTTTTGCTGCTATTACATCCTGGCAAAGAAGGCGAAGACCTGGAGCCAGGCGCCTCGCTGAGCTGTGACAGTGGCCATTTATCAGGTCATTCAGCTTCTGCAGCTGGTGTCTTGAGTGTCGCTTGTCTGGTGCTGTGCTAGGACATCCTGGCAACTTTGAGAGCTTCTCCTGTTGTGTCTTCTGTTGTCTTCATGAGTTGGAAACTGGCCTGGAGTCTGGCTTCGGTGTACTCCAGGTTGGCAGAGGCAGGAAGACCCCATCTTGGACACCTGGCCTATTGTTCAGGAGAGGAGTTCCATGTCTTCAGTGAGGAGAAGACACCACTTTAGCCCCTTTTGTTTAGGACTGAAAAACACTGGACACAGCTTTGGGTGAAGCAAAAGGTCATTTTTGGCTTCAATAACACTTTGTTTTTCCCTTGTTTGTTAGATAAATCCCATTGTTGTTGTTGTTCCTAAGCCTGAGTAGTCTTGCAATTGTGCACGTGCTGAAGAACTCAGAGAGTGACCGGTAAACTATTTGGGCAGCATCCTAGGCCAGTTTTAGCATCCTTGCTGCCCTGTAGCAATACCATAGTTAAACTGTTGAAAGACAAAGAGGAAAATGCGGAAATTGGCAGAGAAAATAACATTACTTTAACTACCACAATAAGCTTAAATCTGATGTGTTTTCAGAAACAGTACAGGGCAGAAGCCTGGGATGATAATCCTACTGCTGGAGGAAAGACACTGTCAACCGAGAATGCTCTATCTAGCAAATCTAAGCTTCAAAAATGAAGGCAAAATGGGAGTCCAGCAAGTCAGTGGCACAATGGAGATGCTAAACTATCCTTCTCCAGAGTCCCAACTAAACTACAGCAAACCAAAGTTAATAATGCATGAGAGATAGACAACTGCAGCATGAAACAGGAGCAATGGTCCAGTAGAAAGCATTAGGGAAAACTTTAATTGAACTGTGTTTGCAGCAATGTGGGAAAATGCAGCTTGAGGGAGGGTGGGGTGACTGCTGCACAGAACCCAATACAGCTGTTGACTCAGGGGCACGGACCCTCATCAGAGACTTGGGAGATGCAGCCCTGTACTGAATAAGGGTGTGCCTGTAGTCCCAGTAAGTCCCCTTCAGTAAGCTGAGGCTGGAGGATGGCTTGAGGCCAGTTCTGGGTTGTAGAGCACCACACCACACCACCAGTCTTCACTAAGACTGGCATCGATCTGGTGACCTCCCAGGGAACGGCCAGCTTGTCTAAGAAGGGATAAAATGGAGCAGGTCAATGAAAAGTCATTTCACCAAAGAATATCTGGGTGACGACACGACAAGATGTTCCATAGCATCAGCTTTCAGGGAAGTACAAACTAAGGTTGCCATGAGATCACTACACTACACAGTTATCAGAATGGCTACAGTTTCAAAAGTAGTGATGACCCAGTAGAAAAATGGGCCACTCATACATTGCTGATGGGACTGTAAAATGGAATTGCCACAAAATGTGTGCCTGATATTGAACATGTATATTGATATTGATGTTTATAACATTGAACCCAGCAATTGCACTCTTGTGCACTTGTCTGAGACATGAATACTTATGTCCACACAAAAACCTGTCCACTGATGCTCCTAATAACTTGATTTATAATAACCCCAAATTGGAATCCACACAGATGTTCTACAACAGGTGAATGGTTAAACTACAGTCAGGTCATGTATACATTGGAATACCACTCAGCAATAAAGAGGAATGAACTATTGACATAACTCCAAGGACAGTCCCTATAAACATGGTAATTACTAGAGAGGAAGGAGGGAAGAGCTTGGTTTTGGATAATGACAGAGGCAGGGGTTAAGGAGAGGGAGGAAGTCAGGTAACACACTGCATGGTATAGTAGGAAATGTACACACACATATTGTTTATGGCCTGTCTGTTCTGAGTTAACTTTCCAGCCCAAGGATACACCTATCTGAAGAAGCCTCAGCATGTGGGGCATGCCTGAGACTAGGTGTCCAGGAGAGTGATAAGGAGATCCTGGGGCTGAACAACATGAGCTCCTGGCAGTGGTGAAGGCCAATGAAAGGAAACGGGTTTGAGGAGAAATAGTTCAATTTGTCGATAAATCAAGCAGGCCAGTAGATCAGTGAATGAAAGCCCGCCATTCAGCTTTTAGGCAGAGGGCAAGGGTATTTATCTAGTTTCAAGGTAGTAGAAGCTGAGTGGGCAAGGGTTACAAAGGATAAGGGAGGAGTGGGCAAGGGTCAGCATGTCCATCCTTGCGACACAAGTGTCTGGAGGTTTCAGTGGACACCAGCTGCTTTTGCTATCACCTGGTGGTCAGCAATTCAGATATTATCAGATGCTCTTTCCCCTCGAAGGTAAGAAAACAAAGTTTGTTAAGCCTAGAGGGTAAATAAAGGAAACGGGAGAGTTTATGTGGTGGGACAGAGACAGACATATACTTTGTTGCTCCATCAATAAATCCATTCAGTAACTTAAGTACATAAAAATAACTAACAAAAATAAATTTTAAAAAACGTATACATTCAGGCCCTCTCTGGTGGCGCAGCGGGTTAAAGCACAGCACTGAGAAGCTAAAGCCACTTACGCATGAGTTCCATTCCCGCCTGCCCCGGAGGTGACCACATGGTGTGGCAGACCTCTCCTGACCCGCCCGCTGCTCCCCTCAGCAGTGTACTTCATTGATCTGCCTGTTCTGCTCCCCACTCTGTCTCTGGTGAAGCCTCTCGCCGCCCCTGAGCCTCTGGTTTGTACCCCAGTTCTGTATCCACAGATAAATAAATCTTAAAAAAAAAAAGCGTATACATTTTAAATAAGAAACTTTCTAACTACAAACTCGCTGATCTTGGGCAAAGGACTTGAGGGACCCTCATTTGACGCCCCTATTAAATGAAGTGATTGGACACAGAGTATTGTCAATATCTGCCTGAAGCTGTATGCACAAATACATAAATCTTTGGGGGAAAAAAAGCGTATACAGTTAAACAGAAACATAAGAAACTTTCTAACTACAAACTAGCTGATCTTGGGCGAAGGACTTGAGGGACTCTCATTTGACGCCCCTATTAAATGAAGTGATTGGACACGGAGTATTGTCAATACCTGCCTGAAGCCTAGTTATGGACTGCAGGTTGCAGGGCTAGGTTAAGTAAGACGAGGTTTTGAAAGTTTGTTTCTGTTTCAAACTTTTAAAATGTTTCCATTCATTCACGTTGCTGGAGTCTAACCCAATCCTCTCTAGTGAAATTCAAAATCCAGGGGACAGATCACAGGGATGTACTCGCTTTTTACAGACCAGAACCATACGCAATTCAGATGCCCTCTGCTTCCCAAACTTTAGCTTTTAAATACTAAACGTTTCACTCCTCTACCTCCACCTGAGCGCCCCGCCTCTCCCAAATCCACCAAATCCCATTAGCCCCATGAGCCACGCATGGCCCCACGCGCAATCCGTGTTCCCACGCTCCACAACTCGGCGAGCTCAGCAGATTCCACAGCGCCCAGCCCCTCCCTTCCTCACTTCTGCTGTTTTCTTGGGCTCAGGACCGCCCTTCTCCACCTGGCTATTTGGTTGGCCAGCGCCCTTACTGTACGTCATTCACCCGCGCCACCCGGAAGCCCTGGTTCATACCATCCGTCCTTATTGCCGGTGGCTCTAAGGTAATGGCTGCATTTGGGTACCCCTGGGTGGCGGGACCCCGGAGTTAGGAATTGCAGAAGGCGGAACCCCCAGCATGAGCTGGGCGATCCCACTCCCTACGTTGAGCGGGTACAGAGGTATTGCGCATGAAGTCAAACTGGTCAATGTGATCTACCCCCTCCCCATTCCTCAGGAGCCCATCATGGCGACGCCCCCTAAGCGGCGGGCTTTGGACATCACGGGGGAGAAAGTGCTGCGTTATGAGGCCTTCATCAGTGACGTGTTGCAGCGGGACCTGCAGTGAGTGACAGCGCCGGCCAGGGCGCTTGGAACGTTCCACGTGGTGGGCGGGACTTTCGGAGTCAGGGTCTAGCCTTCTGATTGGTGAGCGGGGCGCTCAGAGCCCAGCCCTGTGGCGCTCTTCACGGAAGGAGGGCGACTTCCGGGGTGCGCATTGGCTGGGACTTCGCGAGCTTCACGGAGGGTGTGTTGCGCATGCGCCGTATCAACCGTTGCTTAATGTGTAAGAGCTAAGTCTCTGAATCCGAAGTTCTCAGGTTCCTGCCCGGGCTTGACCGTTTCACCATCTGTGTGAACACGTTGCACCTTGCCTCGCTTTTCTCTGCCTTAATTTCCTCAGACGTGAAACGAGGAAGTTAAATGAGGCCTTGGTTAAGTGGCGGTTTTGAGTTTTCCATGTGTTCAGCACTTGAAAAGGATTTACATGAATATCAGAGGCTCTATGAGTATGAAAATTTATTTTTACTGTCATTATTACTCTGTTCAGAACTGGGACTTAGAGTTCTCTAAAAGGAATGGAGGATTTTTCAACAGTTAGAATAGGATATTCAGATTGGAGGAAGGTGTTGTGTAACACTTCTTACAGGTAACGGCTACCACAAATACAGAACTTACTATTTAGAAGGCACTATTCTTAGTGCTTTATGGTGAAAACTCATTTAATTCTCCTGATGACGCTAGAAAATAATATACTTATCCCTATTTTCTGAACCAAAGAGGTTACTTTCCGTAGTCACACAACTAGTAAGTAAAAATGGAGAGCCGGGATTCAAGCTCAAGCAGTCCAACCAGAGTCCAGATCTCCTGCACTAAAACACCTCTTTAGCCTAGGTGAATGAGGGTTTAGGATCATGTTAACATGTATGCCAAAAGGGACAAGGCTTCCTGATGGTCACCATTTTATTCTTGTCCCATCATCTCCCATCAGAAAGGTGTTGGACCATCGAGACAAGGTATATGAGCAGCTGGCCAAATACCTTCAACTGAAAAATGTCATTGAGCGACTCCAGGTAAAGACTCCAGGATTAGGTACCTTTTTGCAAGGGAGGAAGATGGGAGGAGACCAAAATCTGTCACATGATCCAAAAGTGGTCACTGACCCCTACCTCTTTTTCACAGGAAGCTAATCACTCGGAGTTATATATGCAGGTGGACTTGGGCTGTAACTTCTTCGTTGACACGGTGGTGTGAGTGTCTACCTGCCCCTCTGAGCCCACAGGGTTCAGCTTCCCCCTTCCTTCATTCAACAAATATTTTTCTGAGTATCTGGTACATACCAGACATTGTACTAGATGCTGGAGATGTGATGGTGAATGAAGTAGGACAAAACCCCTGCTGTCCCATAGAGCCTCAACTTGGGGAAGGAGGGGAAAGGGAAGTAATAAATCTTAAGTTGTGTGGTATGAGAAACATCATAAGTACTTTCTCTACTTCCTCTAATTATTCTGTCCTCAGCCCAGACACTTCCCGGATCTATGTTGCCCTTGGATATGGTTTTTTCCTGGAGTTGACACTGGCCGAAGCTCTCAAGTTCATTGATCGTAAGAGCTGTCTCCTCACAGAGTAAGTTTATTCCATGATGATAGTGTCTAAAAATACCACCCTTTGCCAGCACCCATCTCTTTGCCAATGGCCACCTGTGGGATCTATCTCCCTTCTTCCTCAGGACTCAGACTAAGGCAAGTGGGGCTGCAAAGCTCAGCCCCAGGTGTAGTGCATAATAAGCCCTTCATAAACGGTCTTCATGTTCTTCATTCACCCAAACGTTGATTGGGCATCCATGGTATGCCAGGCTCTGTAGTTGGTGGCATCCATTGTATGCCAGGCTTTGTAGTTGGTGGTGGGCAGACAGTAGTGAACAAGATAGAAAGGGTCCTTGAGGGTTTACATGAAGGATTATACCATTATACATTACTACAATTTTGATCAGATCTGGGGGTTCTCAGCCTATAAATAAAACAAATTACCTCTGACTTCTCCGTCTGCCAAATTCTGTGCTTTTCACTGTGCTTTCACCACACTGACCTTTAACAGACTTCTTTAAATACTGTTAGGATGGTCCCACCTTGGGGCGATTGTACTGGCTGTTCTCTTTGCCTGTAGCACTCTTTCCCCGGTACATGCATAGCATCCTTTCTCCTCACTCAATTTAAGTCTTGCTAAAATATCATTTTTCAGTGAGGCCTTCTATAACCTAACTTTGAAACTGCAACTGCAGGCACTCTTGATTCCCCTTCCTTACTCTTTTTCCTTTTCCCCCTAACACTTAGGACCTCCTTATGTTTACTGTGTAATTCACTTCTTTGTAATGTTGTTTGCCTCCTCCCACTAGCATATAAACTTCACAAATGGTATAGTTTGTACCCCGAAGTGACCAGACTAGTGCATAGTCTATAGTAGATACCCCTTGTTTGTTGGATGAGTTTAAAAGGAAACAAGTTGATGTGAGGGTTCAATGGGATCTAAATGGTGATGAGGAGGTGACGTGGGAAGAAAGTATGGGCTCCAGTTGGGTTTAAGGTTTTATGCAAGGGTGGGGGCTATTAAGAGTATGGATGAGAAGTTTGAAATGTAGCTAGGGAAGGAACACAGAGAAAGGAACATTTGAGTCACTCGGTCCAGTGAATAAGCCATTAGGCTCTGAAAGAGCATTCCTGGCAAGGGCACCAGCATGCCTGCTGAGTTAAAGGAACTACGAAGAGTGGAACATGGTTCCGAGGGAGGGAGGGAGGGAGGGAGGGAGGAAGTGGGTGCTGAGCAACTTAGATTGACAGCACCCCACCAGTATGAGTATCACTCACTGCAAATTCCTCTGGGTCACATTTGTCTTTATTATCACTCTATTCATTTCTTCCAAAGTCGCTTCCCCTAGGGTCTCAGTAAATCATTTGCCTGAGGGATGTGCTTTCACAGTGCAGTTCTGAGCCCTCGGCCATTTAAACTAAGTTAATTTACTAACAAAAGCTTTCCTTGTTACACTGCAAAATTTCTGAACCTTTTGAATAGATTTTAAGTTTTTGAGACTTGATTCTTTCCCCAAAATGGCATGTTTTAAGTTATCGGTCTTTTTAATATAGTGACCTGGTTTATTAGTAAAATGAAAAATGTGATTGAGTCTCTTACCACTTTACCATCATTAGTAGGACTCCTTAGAAGTTTAATCTTTCTAGAAGATGGGGATTTGAATCAATGTAGTTCACTCTCCTTTAAAAAAATACTTGGTTACTTTGAACTAACTTTCTTGCAAGTTATGGAACCAAAGCTATCTGTCAGTCCTTCCTGTTTTTAGTATCTCTTTGTTTGGGGAGCGGATCCTGTCTATGTGTCTATTCTTTCCTGATTACACAGAAAGGAGTGCACATCCACACCCATAAGTAGACATGTAAGGACTGTTAATACTACCTTACATAGTCACTAAGTAGTAATATTTAAACACCCCTTTTACGTTACAACCAGCAGTTGGTGAACTTTACATTTGTCTCCTTTTAAGTATTGTGCTCATAGCCTTTTATAGACTCAGCTTGTAGCATAAGCTAACTTTGTTCTTTTTTGATGTTCAAATTGTCCCTTAGAAGCTGATTAAGTTCAACATTCCAGTCAGAGCAGACAGACAAAAAAATAAATAAATGAGATAGTATGTCCCAGACTGACAATGCTGTGGAGAATAAGAAACATCACCTGGGATGGAGCAGTTGTGCTTTTAAATAATCTTTGATGGCCTGGGTGGGGAGGGGGTAAAGAAACAGAGAGGAGTCCAGGAACAACTGGAAGGATGGCCGGGTAGTCTGGACTGAAATATATATTTGGTAGATAGAGATTTAGAAATGGATTCATACTAATTGTTTCCAATTTAACACCCTGTGTTGTGACCTTCTGCTTTCCATGTAGCGTTTAGTTTCATTTATCCCTCAAACTGATTCCCAGCACAATGAAATCCACATTCCTTAGCACATCCAGATCCTGCACCCGCTTCCTACCGCTTCCTACTCCTTGGACCTTGTATCACTTTATTCTTCCACCATTTACTTAATTATTAACTCTCTGGCCTTCTCGCTGCTGCTCAAAAAGCCCCTTTATGCCTCTTTGGCTTTTTGTGGAAAAGATCCTCCTATTGTTTAACTCTTACTCGAAAGGCCTTCCTTCTCCTTTGTATTAGTTAGGATTCTTTTGGGTGACCAGTCAAAGCTGACTTAGATACAAGAAATTGACTGGTTTCTGTAATTCAGTCCAGGGGCAGTGAGGTTTCCAGCAACTCCACCTTCTTAGTTGCTAAGACCCTGACATCTTCAGAGTCTTCTCTCTCACACCGACATCCAACCCTTTGGTTGACCTACCTTGAAAATATACCCCAAATAATCATTGCCCATCACCCCAACTGCTGCAACTGTAGCCTCTGTCTCCATCTCTCACCTGGACTACTGCAATTGCTTCTCCACTGCACTTCTACTTCCACTCTCTCCTGAGCCCTAGCTAATTCTCCACACATCAGAAGGGTAGATCCTTTTCATCTTTTGTCAGTTCACATCCCTTCTCTGCTCACAGCCATCCTCTGGCTCTCATCTCACCTGACATAAAAGGGAGTCCTTTCCGTGGCCTTGTAGGCTTCACACGCGTGCTTACCACTCTGATCTCATCTCCTGCAGTGTCTCTTCACTTCTGCAACCACACAGGCCTCTTTGATGTGCCTCACTTGTGCCAGATACATTTCTACTTCAGCAACTTTGTATTTGTTACCCCTTGTGACCGGAATGCTCGGCCTCCATATGTCCACACAATTTTCTATATTTCAAATCTTTGTCCAAATGCTTCTCGTGAAGCCATCCTGAGCACTCTTAAGAGTTGCGGCCTCCACTTCTTATCCTCCCTTGTGGCTTAATTTTGCATTGTTCCATCATTTACTTGTTCCTCTTAATAAGAATTTAAGCTCCATGAAGCTAAAATTTTTGTTGTATTTGCTGCTGTCTCCCAGTATCTAAAACTACCTGGCCTAGAGTCAGCATTCAGTAAAAGTCTTTGAGTGCAGTCCAGATGGTGGCCAGGCATGCCTGCACAAGAGCAGGTCAGGTAGTCAGGTGTCCTGCCAACTGCAATGTGGAAGTCACGCAAGAGGTAGGTAGCTCTTCAAGTGAGGAGGGAGTATGGCCCTCAGGGTCATAAGTGGGGCCCACTTGGCCCTTTCTTGTTTCTTTTCTCCAGGCTCAGCGACAGCCTCACCAAGGACTCCATGAATATCAAGGCCCACATCCACATGTTACTAGAGGTGAGAACAGCTCACTCGATCCCAGACTCATGTCTCCTATGTGTATTTCGGGTGGTGACCTGAGAAAAGGAGAGAACCAGAAACCATCTTGCCTTCTAAACTGCAGCCAAGCTAGAGCCAGGCTGGCTGAGTGGGGTGTGCATGGGGGGTTAGAGCAAGCCTGGAGCTGGGCCTGGACCCAGCCTCTATTCAATCTCTTTCGTTCTCTTTTTCAGGGGCTTAGAGAATTACAAGGTCTGCAGAATTTCCCGGAGATGCCTCACCATTGACTTCTGCCCTCACGCCCCCGACATTAAAGAGCCTGAATTCTTTGAGTCACATGGCCCTTCTTTTCCCCCTTTAGCCCTTGCTGCTTGCTAAGGTACCCTGTTTATAAAGCACAAAGTTATGAGGAAACCCAGAGATCTCTCTTTGTGGAACCGTTAAGGCTCCCCTCAAGTCCCGCCTCCAGTCTGTTGCCTGGCAGCATTTACCACTTCACTTTCTGTGGTGCCCTCTATATTCTGTCTCCTTGACAACCTGGGCCCCTAACTTGACCCTTCTATCTTCCTGCACACACTCTGAATTAATGATGGTAGCCAATGGGCCCGTGCAGGGGAGAGATTCGTCCCCGAGGCAGTCAGCCTTTCACTCCAGGCCCTGAGGTTTACCCCTCTCCCACACTCCAGGTCGTTCCTCAGGTACCCTAAATTACGCCCACACCCGCCTCCGCCCAAACACGGCCAGGGCCGGCTTCTAAAGGGTCCCGGCTTCCACCAATGGGCGCAGAGCCGGATCCCGCCTCCCCGGCCCGGCCCTATTCCAGGTTGGGTCCAACTTCAGCCAATCAGTGCAGAGCCAGGTTCCGCCCCTCCATAACTAACTGCAGCTCGACCCTGCCCTCCTCACAGGCACTTGGTTTCCGCCACTCAGAGCTCCTTTGCACGTCTGGCAGCTGTCCTGCCCTCCTACCTCTGCTCGGTTCTAAATTTGTCTTTTCTAACCAATCACTGTAGCGTTGGCCTGCCCGCCTACGCAGAGCCCTGGTCCGACCCCCAACTTGCCGGCTGCTACGCCCACTCCTATACAAGTCCCGCTTCCGCTGAGCGGCGTGGAGTGCAGTACCGCCCCGTTGGTGTTTTGGCAGCTGTCTAGGAGAAGCCCGTCCGCCAACCAGCAGAAAGCAGGCCCACCCATCCCCTTCCTTGGCAGCGGGCAGCCTCCCTTCTGTCCCTTAAAGGCCAATCAGGGCGAAGCATGCGCCCTCAGACTTGTCAATCGCCTCTGGGCTCGGTGTCTTCCTGGAGCCAATCAGGATGGGGTGCCGGCGGCGAACAGGCCCCTCGGAGCCCAGGCGGCCATTTGCGTTCCGTCTGTTCCCCTTGGGCCTATCGCTGCTTCGCTCTGTGGGGCAGGGCCCGCCTCCCCGACCCTGGAAGCCGCGCAGTGCATCCGTGACGCTTTGGCCAATCTTCTAGCCTTGGAACGCTCGGCTCCTCCTTCATAGGCCCACGTGAGCGGTGGGGAAACGCAGGGGCGGCTTCTAAGGTGCTACCGCCGCCGCCGCCGCCGCCACCACCGCCTCGGATCCGGGGCCTGGGGGGCGGTGGGGCCGCGCATGGAGCCCCCGCCCCCCGGAGCTGCTAACACCGCCGCTGCGCTACGCACAGGTGAGCCAGGGGCTCGGAGGGTGGAGGGCCGGGTCCGTGACCCCACGTATCCTTCCCGCCCCCGCACGGGGGATGTGGCTTGGCCGGTGGCCTGCTGATGTTCGACTCCCCACCACGGCTGGTGGACCTGCCAGTGGCATTGTCCCCTCCCTCGCCCCTTGTAGTGGATCTGACCATGGCCTAATCCCCCCTTCTGTTTTATAATGGATCGGTCTGCGTGATTACATTTCTCCCCACCCCACCTTACAGTAGACTCGCCCGTGGTCTTGCCCCCCACCCCCACTTATTAGAGACCAATCTTTGGCATTGTCCAACTCCTTGACAGTAGGTGCATCTAAGTATGCTTCTTCCATCCTCAACTTTCAGACCCCGTCTGTGTGATCTTGTTTGTTTCATCCCTTCTGTTCCTTGTAGTGAATCAATCCGCGGTGTTGAGACCCCCCCCACCCGTGCCTCTCAACTGTTAATCTGTGAATTTGTATTTCTGCTTCCTCCAAACCCCCATCGCATCAGTCCATGGTTTTAGCACATACACACCCCCATTTTACAGTGGATCAGTCGACATGCTTGTAGTCACATCCCCTAGTTATCAGTCTTCCCTTTTGGTAGATACACTCCACTTCGTGGGCTTCTCCCCTCCTTTTAATAGTGGGCCATTTCAGTGCTTTCTATCCCCCGTTTTCAGTAGCCCAGTTCGTCGTGGCCTCGTCCCTCTCTCCTTTAGTCTCCACTATTGTGTAAGCGTCAAGGAGGGTTTCTTTCCCCTCGCCTCCAGTAAATAAGAGGAGCCTTGCCTCACCACCACTACCACCACCCCTTTACCTTTGCAGCAAATCTGCTCATTGGCCTTCCTGCTGCCAGTGCACTTGGGCTCACTCCCCACCCCCTCAAGCTCTCAAGTCTGGTCAGTGATTTGTAATCCTTTCCCCACGAGGGGCAGCCTGTATGCTTTTATTTCTCCCTCTTTTCCTTGTGGTGGATTAGTCTGTGGCCTTCCTGGCCTCTATCGCCTTTCTTAATAGTGGACCAGCCTGTGTGCTCGTTGAACCCAGGCCTGATTTTAGTCTAGAACACACACCCCCCACACACATTGTTAACAATTAAGACAGTTTGCCTTACTGTGATAAATGAGTAAATTAGTACTAGTACTAGTAAATTAGTCATACCATTAGAAGCTAACATTTATTGAACACCTACTAGGTACCAGACAAGGTGCTTTCTGATCAAGAGTTCATTTAATTTCTCAGCACTGCCCTGTGAGGAAACTGACATAGGGAGGTTAAATACTCAGAGGCAGCCAGTAAGTGCTTAGTTTTGGTTACCCTTCAGAACACAGGATAATTTTTGATATTCTCCTATCTCAGCTCATCCCATTCCACACAAAACCCCACTCCTTAAAAATCAAATTAGTTCCCATCACCCAGCCTTTTTTGTCCTGTTCTCTCTGCCTCCATTTATACCTTGTCTTGCAGGCATCCATTCCCAATCCCCGCAGACCTTCTATTAGTGATTTAACAACTTTGTGCACCTGTTTCCTCATTTGTAAAATTGAGGGGGGGGGTCAGAATTAGAAGCTCTGCAGTGTAAAGAAAGAATACCTGTGACTTAGTAATAGAACAAGCAACCTGCTTACTTCCCCACAACTCTGTTCCAGCCACACTGTCCTCCTCCCTCCTTAAATTCTCCAGGCAAGGTTCAACTGCTCGAGGCCTTTACATTGCCTCTTTTCTCTACCTGAACCCAAAGATCTACCCCTGGTCTTTGCACAGTTCTTTTCAAATGTCAGTCTCGCAGGACTCAGGGCCCCCTCTGTTTCATTTGCTTTAGCCCTTTATCACTGTCAGACACACACTGTAGAGTTTACAGGTTTATGTATTTATTGTCTGCCTCCCCCATTAGAATTGGAGTCCCGTGTGGGCTTACAGTTTTTGCCTGTGTGTTCACAGGCAGTGAACAAGCTGCTTAGTGAGAAGGATTGTGTACATGAATGAGGGTCATAACACTTCAGACCAGTGGGGGCCTGCGCAGGTAGAGATGAAGAGAGCATGTGAAAGCGGAGCAAGAGGCTGGTTAGTTGTAACTGTTCCATCAACAGGCACCCGCTGGGCACCTGCTGAGTACCAGGCAGTGCAGGACATATGGGAAGGCACAAAGCAGGCAGAAATTCCTGCCTAGGTAGAGCAAACACTTGCTACAGGTGAGGACTACTGACTATAGAAATACAGGTAAAATTAGTGTTTTAAACAAATGCTTCGGGTGAAGTAGGGAACGCAGGAAGAAAGTGTGGGGGTGGTTGAAATCTTGGGCGCAGGACAGGCCACACTTAGAAGGTGTCCAATTTAGGCCTGAAGGAGGTTAGGGTGGGAGGCAGGCTGAAGGAACAGCCAATGCAAAGGCCCTGAGATGAGAGAATGCCTGACATGTTCAAGGAACATGGCAGAGGCCAGTGTGGCTGGAGTAGAATGGAGAGGGGAGAGGGGAGAGGGGAAAGGAGCCAAATGGTAGGGTCCGTGGGAGGGGCTTGGGCCCCAAGTTGGAGGAGGATAACACACTGGCTAATGCAGGCATTTTTGAATGTCTAATGTGTGCCTGAGGTACTATTCTAAGTTACATATGTTGCCATTTAGCCCTCACAAAAGCTTTTGAGACTGGGTCTATTTTAAGGACACTTTCTTTTGAGAGTAAAGTATCTACATTTTACAGGTGTCAAAACAGACCCAGAGAGGTTGGGTAACTTGCTCAAGGTCACACAGCTGGAAAAGGGCAGGGGAGAATGAGACTGAAGACCCAGAGAGACCAGATTTGAGGACAGACAGGTTATTAGACACATTGAAATGCACCAAGGAAAAATTAATTTTGCCTGAGAAATGCTGGAACTTGGCACCTCCCTGGTGGCACAGGGGTTAAGCACAGTACTATGAAGCTATCAGCAGCCACGTCAGTGAGTTTGAGCCCCTGTCGGCTAGAGCTGACCCACACGGCACAGCAGACCTCTCTAGTCTCTCCTGCTTCTCCCCTCAGCAGTGTATTTCAGTCAATCTGCCTGTTCTGCTCCCCACTCTGTCTCTGGTGAATCTTCTCTGCCACCCCTACCACCACATCTCTGGCCTGCACCCCAGCTCTCTGGCCTGCACCCCAGCTCTTGTATGGATAAATAAATAAACCTTAAAAAAAAGAAACTTGATGATTGTGTAATAAAGGGGTCAACCAGGTGCGAAGGGGGAAGGGTGCTCCTGCAGGGAGAATGGCGCCCTCTGTGCTCAGAGGTGGGAACTGGATGAACTCCGGCTGCCTGTGATGTATGCATGCCAGGCTTGCCTTTGTACATGCTGTTCCATTTCAGAAGCGCCCTTCCCACAGATGTCAGGGTGACTTGCTGCTGCTGCCGCTGCTTTCTCAGGTCTCTACTCAAATGTCTCTTACTCAGGGAAGAGAATCCCCGACACTCTCTAGGACCTTACCTTTCTGCTTTTCTTCATCAAGAGCTGCTGTTGTACGTGGCCAGGATTACTAACCGGAGTCATACTACCTGGGTTTGAACCCCAGCTCTGCTGACTTCTGTCCGTGTGACCTTTGGTAAGTGACTTAACCTCTCTACCTGCATTTTCGCATCTGGAAAATGGGAGGTAATAATAATTCCTACAACCCGTAGTGTTAGTTTGAGGATTA